TGCAAGTCGTGGAGTAAATAAAAAATTGGAGCTTCAAAATGCGAGCTCAATTACTGAGGCATCGTCTTCCGAAACTGGATATGAAAATGCAGGATAATCTACTCGGGAAAGTGCAAAACATGTCTAACTTCAGGTGGCAAAGTGCTATTTACCAACGGACATATGTACTTCCGTAAACAATGTGATATTCGCCAATTATTTGAAAGTTCGATGAATAATACACTATTGCATGTGATTGGTATTGAGCTAATAGCACCAAAACCCCCCAGTGTTATTTCTAATTGTCGAAAACCCCATGTGTTACAAAGATTAGCAAGAATCCCTTTATGTCTGTTTTTGGTATAGCAAACCGCCCATTTGATTATTGACTTAGCTAAAATGACTATAATACCCCTAGTACATTTAACACAAATATACCCAAAACACCAATTGGTATTCAATTTACATAAATAAATTTAAATGGGCAAATTCCACTTCCCCGCTTGTACTCTAGGTGAGAATCACTTTACTCCATTCTACTCTCGATTTCATCGATTTACCTACCACCTACACTTGTAAAACCATCCCAAAGTGACCCTCAACGTTAGATTTCTGACTGTTGACCTTAACGGTACTGTCTGGTCAAAACTCCAAAATTACGAAAAATACCCACACCTCCTATAATAAGCCCTAGGGGTGGTTTCGGTATGGTTACCGAACATTTTGTTCAATACCGTGTACCTACCGTATCTTTCGGTATTGAAAAATTCTATACCGTTACCGTACCAACAATTGCGGTATACCGTTATTCGGTATACCGTTAGTTTCGGTACGGTATGATCGGTACATGGTAATCTACCGTACGTCATTTTGTTGATGAACTCGGATGATACAATAATTAAGATGAATACTAATTAAATGCATAAAACAACAAATTAAGCAAATGAATATGGTAATCAAACAATTTACATGAATATACATTATACGACCGTAATAGCGTATGTTGCTTCAATTAACTAATGATTACTAAGATATGTATAGAAAAATTGTAGAAACTAATGAGCAAAAAGTTTCATGGTTTAAGTAAGATAAATAAAAAAAATTATGTTGTAATAATGCAAATGAAACAAAAGGGTGAGAACTTAGGGGGGAAAGAAAGGGAGAAGAAAATTATGGCAAAAAATATTCCACCAATAAGAGATTAGTTGGACTTTGAAACTAAAGAAGTACGTGAAATAAACAACTTTAAAGAGAACCAAATTAAATATTGAGTTTGCATAAATATATGAAAATAATAAAAAAATAGAATTATGTATATATAATATATATAGGATGTGTCATATCTTTATTATTGTTTTTTATTTTTATTTTATAATATTTGTTGACTATATTTTTTATATTTACAATATAAAGGGTATAATATATTAACTAATTTTTAAAATACAAAGTTAAGGTACGGTACGGTATTACCATGGTATTGAAGATACAATACCGCTACCGTACCGTAAGATAATGGTACGGTACCGATACCGTACCAAATGTAGTGGTAACCGATAGTTCGGTATTTATTCGGTAATTGTTGGTAGGTATACCGTGGTAATCGGTATTTGGTAATTTTGTCCAGCCCTAGCCCAATCATTACCAACGATGTTTGTTTCGGGAAGAAGAAGTTTCATATTTCTGTGAAACCAAAATCTTCTGGTTCATCCGCTTCAGTTGCTTCTCCCCAATGTGGATCTCAAGCTTCTCCAGTGAGTCACTACTTCTTTAAGGCTTAATTTTGCCTTCATTGTTTTGATCGTGAATACCTGGTGCAACTCCGATTTACCCATTTTCTTCATAAAAAAGATCAACCCTAATTCCCATTTTTAAAATTTGTTGAGGAATAATTATATTCTTATGTTTTTGGAATCCTTCTCAGTTCAATTTTTTTTCTTATTTTTTGGCTGGAAGAGAAGAATTGTTGTGAATTAATTAAGGGACATTAACAATGATTAATCTTGGCAGAAATGTAGAAGAAACGGAATGTGGGAGTTGGGACTTCAGATGAACTACTGGGAGGATTTATTTGAATTCTGAAAGATAAAATCAAAGACATGAAGGTGATTTTGCAATTTTCTATACAGAAATTAAATGCCATTTTTGTAATTATGGAATGTTGACCAAACGGTGTTAAGGTCAACAGTCGGAAAACTAACGCCAATGGCCATATTGGGATGATTTTATAAGTGCATGGTGTAAATCGATGCAATCGAGAGTAGAATGATGTAAAGTCATTCCGACCGCAGAGTACAAGGGGGAAAGTGGAATTTGCCCAATTTAAATTCATTAATTAAATACCTTCTTCTTCCAACCATCTCTTCCACCGCCCTAAATTTATCTCACAAGTCTGTGATCGGTAAAACGCCGACTCAATCGTCAGAAAACAAAACGGTGCCCTCGCCGGAGCAATCAAACTCCAACGGTGCTGTTCGAGATTTTCCCTTTGAGTAACGTACCACACCCTAGCCTTCTCTTCCTTATCAATTATCTTTGTGAGCCACCAACTTCACCAAGGTCAACCCATTTGGAGCAGAATATCGGGAGAAGAAAAGAGTGTATCGGGGTTGTTCTGCAAAAAAGGTTTTTTGGGCAATTTTCTGAAAATTTCAGTTGGGATTTCTATTCTGCAATTTCCGGGGTTCCACGAAAAAGCCTAAAGCTCAGATCTTGCAAATTTCCGGCCCTTCCCTTGGATTGGTTTGATGTAGAAAAGAGCTTCAAGCTTAGAATATCGGTTGATTTTTTGCTGGAAAAAACATGAAGGAAGGGAGTGACCTGTCCAATAAGAATTCGGCCGAAAAAAAATATTTGGGAAAAAGTGTCCGGAAAAACATATCTTTTAGTCGATTTTCGGCGAAGCGGCGCCATTGGGCATGATTTTGTGTGTGTTGTGCATGAAAATGGTGGAGAGTTTAAACGCGAATAAGTTGATTTGGGGAGAGGGCGTTTTGAAATTACGAAGGACTCTTCTGAAACTTTCATTTTGGCGTAATGAAAATTTTGGGGTTAATCTGTATTTTGAATTGTTTGATTTGAAAGGGTATTTAGGTCAGAACACGCACCCCAACCGCAATCCGCGCTGCATAACACGATAAGTCGTTAGGAACCTTATTGGATTTGACTAACTCTCATTCTCATAGGAGGATCTGTGCTAATTTTTTTAACACAAGGGGTTTTCAGTAAGGGTTAATAGCGTTTCGCCACCTGGACCTTGTCCGTTTTTGCACTTTACCACCTTAACTAAAAAAAGTTGCACGGGCACACCCAAACTCACTTTTTTGACGCACATAACCACCTAGGAGGAATATTCCGGCGAATCTTCTAATTTTCCAAGGCATGTACGATACACATGCTTAATGGAGGGGTTTTTTGGTTATTTCACCTCAAAAAAATTGTGGGCCCTCTTTTTACTCTTTCTTCTCCTTCTCTCTTTTATTCTCTCTCTCTCTTTCTCGCACACCCACACACATACAGATATCCCCCATCATCATCTTCTTCTTTTCTTCTTTCTTTGTGCTTTTGTCAAGAATCAATCTTTTCCCAAAAGAAACTCCGCGAGCAATGTTGTGATGGGAACTGTGAAAGTATAAACCGTAGGTCTGATTCCATTATTGACCATTTCTTCAATCATGTACAAAGCATCATCCACCTTAACAAACACAAATTGATGTCCATTTTTCAGTATTTGTAAGTAAAAGAATAAATATATAGATATAGAGAACTCATATTGTAGTAAATATCATAAATTATACAAAAGACAGAGATTAAACATGTGGAAAGAGCCATAAGGTACACAACATAAAGCATATGGTACAAATTATCAGCCCAGCACCATCAAAGATGGAATTCCACTATTTTCCCTATTTCCTTAAAAAATCAAATTGGATTAGAAAAAAAGCTAGTAGCCGGGACAAAGCGACGGCGGTGCAGGCCAACTTGAGGCGGCTTTTACGTAAGGCATGATACTCCTCAAAATCTAGAGGAATATTTGGGGGTGGGCCCAACGCCGCCGCAATCTATCACCGCGGATTATCATTGTTACGATTGGAGTTGGCTTTTTGATCTCACCGACGTCGTTGCGTTGTACGGTGGTGCTGTTGGGACGGGGGTGGCGGCCTCCTGCAGGAACCGCTAGAATGCCCACTCCGATGAGCTGCAGTTCATCCCCATCATTTTCGAAGAGGACGCAGCGACGACGACTGACGAAGATTGATTCTTGAGAAAAGCACAAAGAATGAAGAGAAGAAGAAGATGATGATGGGGATGTCTGTATACGTGTGGGTGTCCGAGAGAGAGAGAGAGAGAGAAAGAGAGAAATGAAGAGAGAGAGATAAAAAGCAGGCCCCACAAAAATTTTGAGGTGAAATGACCAAAAAACCCTTCCATTAAGCATGTGCACCGCGCGTGCGCCGGAAAATGAGAAGATTCGCCGGAATATTCCCCGTAGGTGGTTATGTGCGTAAAAAAAGTGAGTTTGAGTGTGCCCTTGCAACTTTTTTTAGTTAAGGTGGTAAAGTGCAAAAACGGGCAAAGTCTAGGTGGCGAAATACTATTAACCCTTTCAGTAATTAGAGATTACACAAGGATGGTTCTTGCAAAACACCCCATTGTTATTATAAATGTAATTATCATAAATATTTTCGGAAATTAAACATGGATCGAATATCTGAGCCTCATCATATAGATTTCAATTAGATAAAAAAGAATTTGGAAAAATCGATAATCGAACTTTTCGGGATTCATAATCCAAAATATTATTCGAAAGTCAAAATTTTCTGATTGAAATCGACGTAAATAAAAAATACCATTCTAATTTGGAGCTCTAATGAATAGTTTAATCTTATTCATTCCAATTAATGTAACAATCCCATCATCATTCTCAATCTGAGGCCTTTACAGCCTATATTACCCTGTACCATGGGATACAATTAACTATTTTTCAAGTGTTACACAATTTCCGTCGAATATATAACAATGTATTATCCGATTCTTATCTTACATAAATACAAACTCTAACACAGTAGTCATCAATATGTGATGTTCTTGAAACAACAAATTGAATTGTCATATATCTATATAGGACCATTAACTGAATGTTCCAGCCCCACGTATGCTGATAACGACGACGAAAGTTCATTGCCTGATATCGATGGAGAAAAGAGTAATGGCTTTGGTGGAATTTGTATGGATCGTAGACTTCCTTCTAACATCTCGACAACCTTAGACATCGATGGCCTATCCGATGGTGATGTCTGAATGCACCAAAATCCGATCAAAAACATTTTCCTTGCTACTTGATCGTCATCATCGACCACAAGATCATCTAACTTCGTTGTAACATCAAGTATTACCTGCTCGTACATTTTATCCGAAAAGTAATTCTCGCTAGATTGAGTTGTCACGATTTCGTCAAATTTTCTCATTCCAGCCATTTCAAGAATCATCATTCCGTAACTATAGACATCAGATTTATGAGAAGCTCCTCCAAAATTTCTTGAGAATAATTCTGGAGCGATATACCCGATTGTGCCTCGTGTCCCGGAAACTGAGAATATACTGTGCTTCTTCTTGCAAAGTTTAGCAAGCCCAAAATCAGATATCTTTGGAGAGAATTCCTCGTCTAAAAGAATGTTCTGCGGCTTAATATCGAAATGAACAATCCTAGTGTTGCACCCTGTGTGGAGATATTGTAGGCCTTTGGCAACTCCAACCGCAATCTCGTACAATTTGTCCAAACCCAGATAATTGTTGTTGATGAACTTGTCTAACGATTTATTGGGCATAAATTCATAGACTAGAGCTCTCTTGTTTCGATTATAACAAAACCCCAAGAGATTGACAATATTGACATGGGAGGTTCTACTAATGCTAGCAACTTCATTTATGAATTCTTCTCCATTGCTATCGGTCTCGATCAATACCTTGACAGCAACAAGTGTTCCATCAGGTAATACACCTTTGTAGACACTACCATATCCTCCTCGACCAAGCTTCTCATTAAAGGATTTGGTCATTTTCTTGATCTCTGAATATTTGTATCTCTTTAGAGCCAGTGATCCATGCTGGAGTACAAACTTTTTTATATCATTGTCCCTTACTTGCTTAGGGTTTCCTAGTGATCGTCGTCTTTTAAAGTAGCAGAATACTATGATAATGGCCAATATAGTTAAGGCAATTACACCAAGTCCAGCACCTGATACATATATAGAAACTTTTAATTATAAAATTTATATGTGATATACAAAATTATTTATTGATTAATTATATACTTCAAATATTGTCGCTTTCATGAGATTAGCTTACATAAGTTTTACAAGGTGAATTTATATGTGATGTTCAAGTCAAATCCACTAAAGTCTATTTGATTTTAGTGTGAGAAATTGTCCATCAGGCACTCGTATCTATATATGTTAAGAGTAATAAGATTCATTGAATATATCCATACTATCATACTCATACAATTACATCTATTATTGGAATATCGCAGTCATATGGAATGTGAATTGCACAGGGGCGGTTTGGTGGGGGGCTAACATGTAGGTGTGAATTAAGAGAAGGAAGAAAATATTTTTTTACGGGCTAAAAGTATACAAAATTCAAATCATTGGGGGGTGGGGGGAGGGGGGCAAAGTCCATAAATTAATAGATAATTACCAGAACCAAAAAAAAAATAAAAATAAAATAAATTTGCAGGGGCGGGAGCCCCCTAATCTCCACATGGGTCCGCCCCTGGAATTACATGCTCTAATTTGACCAAGATTTTGATTCTTGTTTATTAGAAAAACCTCGAAAAAGACAAGAAATTGATATTGCATAATTGATTGCAGTTCATTGAAGTAAAAAGAACTAGTATACGTACCCAGTGCCAGGGGTAATATTGGTATCTTAGTAGGTGAGGAGGTGTCAGTGCCGTTGGTCCCAATAATTTCAGAGATGGGACAAGTATTAGAAACATACGGCGGGACAGGGCAATAACAAGCAGTCTGATTCTTCGCAAGATTATACCCACACCGCCCCTTTGACGCCGTACAGTTATCGCACATTAATTGGCTACCGATCTTCCACCTAACCAAAAAACCCTGTCGCATAATCCGATCCAATTCCGTTATATTCTGAAGTTGTGTTTCTCCTTCAGGAGGCACAGGAGTTGGAACTATCACACTATCTCTACACATTCCAATGTCATAATTTCCGGGCACAATATGTACATCTTCGCCATTATTCCCACAAGGAACATAGTACATAAAATACTTGATTAAATTACCGCTAGGAGGTGATGGGAAGAAATTACCGCCATCCGGTGGTGGGCAGCCGTACAAGAACGTGATATTCATGTAAACATCGCCAAAGTCAAAGGTCGAGTAGTCCAAGGTTGTGTTCTTCATTTCCGTGGGGCAAGCAGCCTCCATCACGTCCTCCCTGGCAATAGTCATTGTCTGTGTTGTTTGTGCTATTTCCAGGACACGGTACTCCACGCCCATGATTTCGATGTTGGTTATGTTGTTTTTACCATCATGGCATGTGAGGACAAAATTTGGGTGGCCGCAGTGTTCAGGGTTGGAGATTCCCCTGAAAGGGTATCCGATTTCGGTGATGTTTTCGCCGCAACTAAATGTTTTGTCGCAGCTCTGGTACATGTCTTCGGGCCCACTCAATCCATTTCGGGCTTGGAGAATAATCAAGAATTTGATGGTTAATATGAGATGGAGGAACGAGAACCAGGGAATATTCGTTTTGGTATTCATTTTTTGAAGGAAAAAAAAAAGGCGAGGATCGAAGAAACAATGTAGTATAGAAGATTAAGTATGGATGTAATTGACTGGGTGGTATGGTTGAAGGGAACCTTGATGAAGATAATACATACAATATAATGCAGTTTACTTTATTAACTGATCAATCATGGAAGTTGACAAATGATCTCAAGAAAGCAACAGATAAATAAAGAAACTTTCCTGAGAAATTGTCTATGTGACAATAGCACACAGTACGTGGACTCGGTATAAAGAAGGTACAGAAATATACTCCCTCTATTGTTTTTTTATTCGAGTGGATTTCGTTTTCTTGAACACATGGAAATATACATAGGCAATTTCTAATTCGTTCATTTAAAATTCGAAATTCTTTCTTAAATCAAGTCCCAACGTTGTGTGAAATTGAATACACACGCATGATTATTTGGACCGTAGGGGTTCCGTGCAGTGAAATACTATAAACAAGAGGGGTTTTACACAATAAGATAAATACATGGAATATTGGTGCAGGATTTTTGTAACCCAAGAACTTTTAATTATATAATTTATCGCCATATACTTATTTCTCTCGTGCATCTAATGCAATAGAATCTTCATAGACTTACTATGAACTTCAAAAAATCTAATCATTGTTTCAACATTTTATATTACTAGATAGGTGCACGTGCCTTGCACGTGTCTGGTTATTTTTTCAATTGATTTATTAAAATTATGTTTGGTATATTTTCATTAATATAATATTATAAACTCAAAATGTGTAAATATTTTATAGGTGATTGATTTTGTAGTTATTCTTGTAACAAAATTTTGAGTCATTCCCTAAGACTGATTTGAAATTTTAGGGATCCTAAACATGCCCGTTCTTAGGATTTTCGGGGCGCAAGTTGAACATCATAGACCTTGTTGAAATGGGGGCCCCTAGTAGGGGCAAACGATGTTTTTTTTTTTTTTTTCTGGAAATGGTGTGGCCGGGGGTAGGTTAAAATTTTTGGGGTTCGGGGGCATCACCCTCGATTTTTTTTAGAGGAATTCGTGAAAAAATGCCAAAATTTTGGTAAAAATATCTATACAATTTTAAACATAATGCTTTTTAGGCTGCAACTATATGCAATACTAATTTCACTTGTGCAAGACCAAATTAAATAAAGATTTCAATAGATTCCATTTTATTAAGATGAAATGACAAATATACCCATAAATTAAATTGACTTTTGCTTGCTCATGCAAGACCAAATAACAAATAATAAAAAAATATGAAACAACTAAATTTCGACATTAAGGTGTAGGATATATGTCCAGAAATTCGACACCTTAATGTCGAAATTTAGTATATTTGGACTAATTTGCTAACAGTTAAATTTCGACACTAAGGTGTCGATTTTGTACTCCAAAATCGACATCTCAATGTCGATTTTTACCTATAAAATTCGACATGTACATGTCGACCGTGTCTGCGCGAGATTTTTTTTTTTTTTTTAAATATGAAACAACTAAATTTCGACATTAAGGTGTCAAATATATGTCCATAAATTCGACACCTTAATGTCGAAATTTAGTATATTTGGACTAATTTGCTAACAGTTAAATTTCGACACTAAGGTGTCGATTTTGTACCAAAAAATCGACATGTACATGTCGACAGCGTCTGCGCGGGATTTGTTTTTGGAAAAACGATATTCTAACTAAAAAAACATATAAATGCATATTTTCTTGGATTTTTCCACAGTAGATTCTTCTATTTTGATGTCTTCTGACTCCATACTTGCCATCTTTGTAAGATTTGTTGAGTTTTGATGATTTTGAATGTTAATTAGGTTTTGTGGGTTTATAGATGAGGAAGGAGAAAGGTTTTGATGGAGAAGATGAGAGTTGGTCTTGTGGTTTTGTAATAGGATTTTTTTTGATTTTGAATTTTTGGTATTGCACATTTGGAATTTTCTATTTTTTTTAACAAGGGTATTATAGTATTTATACATTAGAAATTTTAATTTGGTCTTGCACAAGTGGAATTAGTCTTGCATATAGCCGTTGCCTACTTATTATTGTAATGCTACATATAAATTAAATTTATAAAACAGTATAAACTAATTAAACAAAATAATTGTGGGGCTAAACTGTATAACTAAAACACTTAGGGGGCAAAAAACTCATATTAATAAAATATTATCGAAAAGTATTTTTTTTTTTTAATCTTGGTATGCCCCTCCCTCACCCATAGTATATTTGGTTCGCATTAAACTTTAGAATTTGTTTAAAACTATTAACTGACAGTAACATAAAAATAAGTGCACACTATATTTTATGGGACATTATATTAATATCAAACAAAACTATAAAAATTATAAAAAACATCTAAGAAACAAATAAGTTAAGCATAATTAATATAAGTTAGTTAACATTTCAAATGATACAATTATGACTACTCGTATTACTGATAAAAAAAATTAACATAAACAAAAAGAAAGATTAACTCTCATTTTGATTTGAATTCTTAATTTATATTTCAGACTATTTTAAAAGTAAGTGTAAATTATTTGTATGGTTATAATTTGTTTAATAATAAAGGCCCTTAAATATATATTATCAACAAAGACTAACATATAAGCACTATTTTTTTAGAATTGGGGTCCTTAAAATTCGTAAAAAAAATCGAGGGCCCTAAGTTATAAAATCGCCTTGGTCGTCTTCCCTCAGAACCAGGCCTGACCTAAGCTATTAATAATTATGTATGTCGTCTTTTCATGTGTTATTTATCTTTTATCCTATTAGTAGATTTTTTTAGTAAGAGTTTAGATTTTAACATAGTAAATCGTTTAGTAAAAAGATGTAAGGATTTAAATTACTGGCATAAATTTAATATATGTTTTCATTTTCAATTTATGACATAAAAAACCATGATGATGTTAAAAGAGTTCATGAATAATACTATATGGACTAAATGCCTATTGAGTATATTCACCGTAAAAAATGTCAATAATCATGAGTAAAAACCGTATATAACTATGGGGTGGCTACATCTAATATCAAAATTTTCTTATTTTAATACCAACAAGTTTAAAACCACAATCCAATAAATATTCGTAATTTTTTTCTTATTTTAATATAAAAAATAAACTCAAAGTACAAATATACCCCCCTTACCTACAAAATATTAACTTATACCAAAATATATTAAAATTTATTAGTTAATACCAATTAAAAAAAAATATCACAAAAAAACCTTTCCAAAACCCACCACTACTCCCCGTCCTCCACCTACCTACCGCCGCTGACCGCCGCGACCCAAACGAACCTGACGCCCCCCTGCCGCCGCCGCCGCCCCGCCGTCGTTATGCCCAAGTAAGAGTTACACTATTTTTTCTTTCCCTTAGATATTGAGTTAAATCTGATATGACCTAATTAGGATTTGATTGTTTTAGATAGGAATGATCGTTATTTAGTGATGGGTGCCTCTAATTTCAGTCGATTTGAGCATTGCTTTGAGATTTCGTGGTTTGTTCTTCATCTCCCCAAAATCGACACATTCAAGTCAATTTTGCGCATTATCGAATATCTGAATTATCAAATTTGACAGATTGCTGTCGAAAATTGTGGAAAACTCGACAGGTTGTTGTCGATTTTTCCACCATTTCGACATCAATCTGTCGAAAGAGGCTGTGGTTTGATTTTCGACAGGCAAGCGTCGAATTGTAATGAATTTTCGACATTTTGATGTCGAAAATTCACTGTAATTCGACACTAACCCGTCGAAATTCACAATATCTATTATTATTATTATTATTATTATTATTATTATTATTATTATTATTATTATTATTATTATTATTATTATTATTATTATTATTATTATTATTATTATTATTATTATTATTATTATTATTATTATTATTATTATTATTATTATTATTATTATTATTATTATTATTATTATTATTATTATTATTATTATTATTATTATTATTATTATTATTATGACTACTTTGTAACAGTGCGATAAAACATTATTATTATTATTATTACTATTCGCAGGGGCGGGGGTGGGTGTAGGGCAGTCTTGATCGCTTGATTAGGATGCGACCAAAATAGATTGCAGCTTGTTATAAATACCTGCTTCTCTTCTCCTACACTGTTAGCCTCGACAAAGACATCAATATACGTCTTAGTGGCCTGTTCGTCCTCGTCAACAACCACTGTATTATTCGTTGACACCA